AAATTGATCAATTTCATAGTAATTTGAATTTAGTAATCAAATATAATTTAGCTAATTAATTATATAGTTTAATAAAAAACAAAATTCTATATTTAAAATGCAAAATTTTGTTTTCAATTCCGACGAATCTCCCAATAAAGTTTAAAATGATTTTCAACTTGAAGAAATTGAAGGACTTAACAACTAGGTCATCAAGGAAGAGCTTCTAAAGCAACAATAATAAAAATTGACTAAGATTGATGCAGAACTCGAAAACTATTTAGGGAAATTGGAAAATGCGAAACATTAGCTTAGAGATTAATAAAGAAATGGCAACAAAAATAGTACTCAAGCCTAACTTAAAAAGCTGCGAAATTAGATCTTATTCTTCGAGAATTAAGTTAAGTAGCTGTAAAATAGGAGATAAAAAGTTGATGATGAGTATTAGAAAGCCCTATAACAAGAAGAAAACTTTGACAACCCTGATCTATTAGACAATATATTTTCAAAGTAGTAAGATGCCCATCATTCTGAGAAAAGAATATAAAAAAGAAGCTTACTAGAGATAACCATTGATGATGACAAAAAGTTTTACATCTCTGAATTGTTCTATAACTTGTTGTTTAAGCACTAGATAGAAGCATTGAATTGGCTGCTTAGTTAGCATTCTTTGAAAAAGGGATCTATATTAGCGGATGAGATGGGATTAGGAAAGACTATATAGACTATAGCTCTTATAACAACGCTTCAAACTACTTACCATGAAACTTTAGACTCAAATTATGAACTACAAAATTCAAATAAAATTGGTCCGATTCTCATAGTATGTCCAGCCACAGTTATTAATTAATGGGTCTAAGAATTAAATCTCTGGACTGCTGGAAATCAGCATTAAGTTAAAATCTATACTTTTAGTGGAGTAAAAGGAACTGAAATAGAAAATCTTAATACTGGCTCTAGATAAGCAAAGCAAAAGGTACTAAAGGAAGCCATAATAAACAATGGAATAGTTATCATTTCATATGAGTTTCTCAGAACTGAGGTTGAGTTATTTTAAAGAAAACAATGGTATTATATTATTCTTGATGAAGCCTAGAAAATTAAGAATAGCTTCTCGTTAACGCATCAAGCTGCTATTTCCATTCAAGCCGATCATAAACTAATACTCTCTGGCACTCCAATATAAAATAATTTGCAAGAACTTTGGAGTTTGTTCCACTTTGTCTAGCCAGGACTCCTAGGGGAATTAGATTACTTCGAGAATACGTTTTGCAAAGCTATAATTTAAGGTGGATACACAAATGCTACAAAAGTTCAATAAGAAACTGCAAGATAATGTGTCGATGAGCTTAGATTAATGATAAGAAGACATATTTTGAGAAGAACTAAGAAATAGTTGAAGTTAGATTGCAAACTTCCAGACAGAAATGAATATATAGTTTTTTGCAATCTGACGAATGGACAGTTGAATCTCTATATAAAATACTTAAAAGGATGTTAAACAAGGAGAAATAGATTTGGACATGGATTTGAAAAAGGAGCTGGGAGTGATGATCTCGCTGTACTAAATAATCTGAGAAAGATTTGCAATCACCCATTCATGTTTTTTGCTTTTCATGAGGCTGAAAAAGCCGATATGAGAGGTTACAAATTCAATCAGTAATAATTACTTCATATTCCAGAGTTTGTAGCATATAACAATGCCAAGAATAAACTATAAAATTACAAAGACAATAAAGAGGGTATAAGATAAATGGAATGTGAAATTGCATCTTAACATTGGTAGTTATCTGGTAAATTGAGGGTACTAATGAATTTTCTAAAGGACTGGTACAAAAAGGATGTCACTACCAAAGTATTGATCTTTAGTTAGACTAAAAAAATGCTTGATATTATTGAAAAAGTATCACAAAGGCAAAATTTTTCGTATCTTAGAATGGATGGTAACATCAATCTAAAATCAAGAATGGAGTTGATTGATAAATTTAACAATGAAGATGCTTATATATTCCTTTTGACAACTAGAGTAGGTGGCTTAGGTATTAATCTGACTTCAGCCAATAAGGTTATCATATTTGATCCAGATTGGAATCCTATGGTTGACATTCAAGCTACAGATCGTGCATTAAGAATCGGCTAGAAAAGAGATGTAACTATTTATAGATTCGTAGTAGATGATACTATTGAAGAAAAGATATACCATCGGTAGATATTCAAAAAGTTCATGGCTGATAAAATCTTGTAAGATCCCTCAAAACAAAAATTCTTTGAAAGATCATAAATGCATGAACTATTTGAATTACCTAAAAAGACGATTGATGAAGACAAGGAATTAGATAATATCAATTAGCTAAAAAAGCGTTACTCTACAGCAGATAGCCATTAAAGTATTGAAAATTTAGAGGAAGAAGTTAAAGGCAATGAACATAAGCATAAAAGACTAAAACATGATGCATATGATAAGCATAAAGTGATTAAAGAGTAAACTGAAATCTCAGATGAAGATAAATTAGAATCAGATAGCGATAAAAAATTAGGTAGAATTTATCGTGTTAGCAAAAAAATCATTAAGAAAGATGAAAAGCTCTCAGAATTCTTTAAAAAGACACAACAAGAGCTATCAAAGATTGATGATATAGCTAAGAGAGTAAAAAAAGATATAGAGAATAATTTAATAACATCAATATTTAAAAATGAAGAAGACTAGAATAAGTGTTAGTAGGATTTAGATAGATTCTCTAACATATCATAACTAAAGATAAAAATAGAAGCAAGATAAGAGGCATCTAATCTATTGTCTAAATTAGGAGGTTTTAATGATTCATAGAGAGAATAAGAGAAGAATCAGCAATAAAACAAAATAATGACTTCAACATCTATAATGGGTAATCTTATGATGAAGAAAAAGCAGCAAGATGATCATGACTTAAAGCAAAAGCAAGTTGATGATATTTTGAGAATTTAGAAGTAATAAAACGATGCTAAATTAGATATGAATTTTTAGATTAGAGATTACTTCAAGTAAAAATAGATATTTGAAACGCCATCTCGCGAAATATTAGAGCATTTTAAGGAATATGTTCAAGGTGATTAGTTTGAGGAATTTAGGGAAGGCCTGAAAGAAGTAGCTTTCTTTGATAAAGATGAAAAAGTGTGGATTTTAAGAGATTGAACATTATAAAGATAATGAAATTAGAATGAAGTATTTTTAATTATTTACTAAAGAGATTAAAAGAAGAAACGATTTATTTTTTCAATATTTATATATGAAACTAGCTCACTGGGGTTTTGGGGTTTTGGGG